AGGTAAGCTGAGATAAGAAAGAACCGAGAAGATTCTACAAGGTAACAGTTGGTGACTAATTACGTATGACAGACAGGTCAGATATGTTTATTTTGGTTTTCCGCCCAGTATCCGGAGTTTCGTCCCGACTACTCCAGACTCGACCAGCTGTAACGCACTAAAATGGTGGGTGGGTCTTCCAACAAAAGTTGTTGCGTACACAAAGTCTTAAACTCGAGATTTTACTTAAACTGAAACAAACCACTTGCCATTTAATCCAACCTTTTATTGATGGTCAGATATATTTATTAGTACGGACAGGACGAGTGATTCAACGTAAGAGGTTGGTTTTTAATTTGTCTCGAAGCATGTGCTTTGCTGGCAATTTGGCACACGAATTTGTCCCGAAGCACGTGCTTTGCTGGCAATTTGGCACACGGTGCATCGCGTAGAGTTTTTTTTTTTTTGAAAGGGCAGAATACTCAAATTCACCTCTAACATATAGTGGTAGAGATAAATTCATTTTTGAACAAAACATAGGAATAAATTTACTCATAAAGTTTATGATTTGGACAAATTATCTCAAATTTAATATGTAACATCATCTGATATAAGTAATATGTTAATTTGACATCATCTAACGTCAGTAATCCATTAACGAATTAACGGATTGCTGATGTTAGATGATATCACACGTTAGATTTAAGGTAATTTGTCCAAGTTAAAAATTTTTTGGGTGAATTTATCCTCATTTTTTGTTTGAAGGTGGATATGTCCTTACCACTATATTTTGGGGGTGGATTTGAGTATTTTGCCTTTTTAAAAAATATGATACGTGGACGAGTACAACATTTTTTAGTACAATTTTTATACCGAAAAGGTTTTTTAGTCTAGAGTGTTTTTGGCTTATTAACAAGATTTTGTTTTATTATTTAAAATAATATATTTATTATTAATCATTTAAGTAATTTAATGATTATTTTTTTTAGAAATAAGAGACTTTAAGTTTGAGTTATATGATATATAAGTAGAATAAAATAAGGGGTAAGAAATGATTACTTCTCATTATGCAATCAATATAAAAAAATAGTATATTTATTTTTATATATTATTAAAGTTTTGTTTAGTATAATTAAAATTTTGATATTTTAATTTTAATTTTTAAAATTTAAATAATTAAAATTTTGAATTTTAATTTTAATTTTTA